ATAATAAATTCTGGGAAGTAAAGTGTAAAAATATAATTAGGCAGTCCAGAAAGAATTCATAGTGCAACAAAAGAAACAAAAAAACCAGCAATTTTTTAAAAGTACATCAGAAGCAGGAAGCCTGCCAAACAGTGGAGACTCTCAATGATCAAGATGCTAGTACAATCACCCCAAGCCCTGGTTTACAATAGGACTTTATTTCATAACCCCTCTGAGGTCGAATTTATAAGCAGAGCATCCACACTACCAAGCCCATTATTTCGAAATAATGGGTCATGGAATTCAAAGTCTATATTCCTGTTTCTCATCAGGAGTAATGCTAATTCTGAAATAGTTATATCAAAATAACAATAAAGTGGACATTCTGGTGCTACTATTTTTCAAAATAATTACTCCTCAGAGTAATTCGAACTAATTACTCCCGAGTGCTTCCTGGGGCTCTAAGTCTGAGGTAGACCATCCACATTAATGAAGCCTGCCTTGGACTAATTTTGAGGCTTCCCAATAGTGTAGACATGCTAGTTCAAAATTGTTAAATCAGGAGTTATTAAGTCTCAGAGGGGTAGTTGTGTTAGTCAATGACTAAAAAAAACTTAAAAAACAACAATGGTCCTTCTGGTTAGTTTCTAAGGGTATGTCTAGACTACATGGCTATGTCGACGGAGCCATGTAAACTAGTTTACCCGGCATAGGCAAAGAAGTGGAGATTTAAATAATCCCTGCTTCATTAAAATAAACATGGCCACTGCGCTGTGTCGACGATCAGCTGATCTGGCACAGCACGGTAGTCTAGACGCGGATCGGTCAGCTGGGGAAACCTTTGCCGACCGATCCCTTATGCCTCGTAAACGAGGATTACAGGATCAGTCAGCAAAGGCTTCCCCAGCCAACTGATCTGCGTCTAGACTACCACGCTGTGCCGGATTAACTGATCGTTGGCACAGTGCGGCGGCCATGTTTATTTTAACGAAGCAGGGATTTAAATAATCCTATGCCGGGTAAACTAGTTTACATGGCTCCGTCGACGGAGCCATGTAGTCTAGACATACCCCAAGGTGCTATAGGACCATAGTTGTTTTTTTCAGGAGTTATTAAGTTGAACTTACTAATGTTGCCTGGGTAAGGATAATTAAAGCAATTGCTTGTTAAAATGGAGTCTCTTCAGATTCCATCTTGTTTTCTTTCTTCTTCCTTTGTTAAGTGCACACCGCACTTAGTTATGCACTCAGCTCAAAACTATGCACTAGGCACTCAAATGAGCTGCACACCACCCAGAAACTGTGCACCCCTCCCTCCTAGAACATTGCACACAGCACCATTCTGTGCACCCAACCCTTACCACCCTTTTCCCGCCTTGAAGAGTTTATAAGCCCTGACCAAAGAGGGGTTCGGGTTCGCCTCTGTCCGTCTGTACTATTGTCTGTCAATCACTGTCTACCGTTTAGAAGTCCTGTCAATGTTTGTCTGTTTCCAGTGGTGCTCCATTTTGGTTCATGGATATTGGTACAAGGATTTAGCTCGAGTCGTGGTGAGATAGCCCATTTGATTGGTTGCTGGCTTCTGCCACATGGACTTGGACTTTATTACCATCATCCTTACCTACTGGATTGGGCTGTGAGTTGAAGGACTATCGAGTGCCAACTCCTGAAGGAACTTACCTTTTCCACTGGAGGCGAGGGCCCATCTATGGAGGACTCATTTGACTGGACTACACCCTGTCAGCGAGGGATGGCCTGCCGTCCTCCCCTAAGGCTTCACATTAGCCGCAGGGTAGAAGGTCGCAGGCCTCAATCGCCACCTCTGATATTGTAACGTATAGCCCTTGGGTATTCGGGACCTATCTATCTTCTTTCTCTTCTGGGATAGGGTGGGTTTATGTCATTGTTATTGTTGTGCGTTTGACTTTTCAAAATATATGGTTTGGCCCTAAAAATTGGTCTCTCGCCTGATTTGTAGTTACCCAATCCAACGGTGACTAGATACATAACACCAGGCAGAATCTGGCTTCTGGGGGGGGGGGCAACCTGCCTTAGGCCTTAGGATTTACTACAGGTTTTGGCTTCCACAATAATTGTTTACCTAAGTCCCCCAGGTAACACTAATTTCAAAATAGTTTCCTGTAAACGGGGCCATTTTGGAGAATCTAAATGAATTATTTGCATTCACTGCAAAGGATGTAAGGGAGATTTGCACACCCGAGCCACTCTTTTTCCAATTACAAATCTGAGGAACTGACCCAGACTGAGGTGTAAGAAGAGGAGGTTTTTTAAAAAACTGATAAACAGTAATAAGTCACCATGACCAAATGGTATTCACCCAAGAGCCCGCTGGGGCTCTTGTACATTTCAAAGGAGGAATGAGGAATTACACTTGCAGCCCCAGGCCAGTGGGAAGTCCCGCTGACTTCAGGTTGCACGCAGGCGTGCCAGCTTTGAAATAAAAAGAGTTCCTAGCAGGGGCTCTTGTGCATTTCAAAGAGGAAGCGCCCTCATGGAGCCCGGGATCAGTGGAGAACTCAGAGTCCCCCGCTGATCTCAGGCTCCATGTTGCACTCTCTATTTGAAATGCCACGCGGAGCCCGGGGTCATCTGGGGATTCCCTAGGTGACTGTGGGTTCCGCAGAAATGTCACGCAGAGCCCGGGATCAGCTGGAGTCCCCCGCTGACCCTGGGCTCCACTCAGCGCAGACGCTTTGAAACGCCACCTCAGCGTTTCAAAGCAGCAGCATCCCACAGATGAATGGTGCTGCACAGCTGAGCAGGAATCAGCTGTTCAGTGCTGCCCCTTTCAACTCTGCCTCAGCGTTTCATAGGGGCAGATCTGCATAGCTGATCCCAGGCTCAGCTGTGCTGCACTGCCCCTTTGAACACCGCCTCTGCATTTCAAAGTGGCAGCGCTGCACTGCTGAGCCCGGGCTCAACTGTGTTGTGCTGCTGCTCTGAAGTACCCCCTCTTCCCTCTTCCCTTTGCTGCCTCTATCTTATAGAGGCAGCAAGCGGGGAATCGACTAGTCGACCAGTCCTTAACACCCTTAATTTAAATGTGAAATTGAAGAACCACTAACTGTGACGTATTATTATAATGGTGTTGCACTATCCTCTCATTCGCACCTCTTGGCCTACACTCTGTTTATGGAGGCTCTTCAGTGACTCAACCTTCCGGTCAAGTCAGGCACAGTCTGTGTGCAAAATAAAGCGAAATCCTTCCAGGGTACCAGTCCAGCAGGGCCTCTCTTGATGCCCTCTTTAATGTCTTTTAGTTTGTTCCCAATCTGGAATAGACAGGGCTTCCTTCCTGGATGTAATGTTTTCACCCTCTCAGCACCTTTCTGGTAGTAGCCCTTTGGCTGAGTCACTATTGCCTAATTCCTTCACTTTCACTTTCCCTCTCCCCTTCCTGAGATGCCTCAAGATCCCCAAATTTTACCAAAATAGGGTATGTCTACACTAGCTCGTTAGTTCGAGCTAGGTAGGGTAATTAGGGCAAGCGGAGTTGCAAATGAAGCCTGGGATTTAAATATCCCGGGCTTCATTTGCATGTTCCCGGGCGCCGCCATTTTTAAATCCCCCTTAGTCCGAACTCCGTTCCCACGGCTACACGCGGCACGGAATAGGTAGTTCTAATTAAAGATCCTAATAGATGGTGCATAAACAAAGACCAAGCATTACTGTTCCTAATCCACTTAAAATCTCTTCCCCTCAAACATCCTAGCACAGCAGCACTTGAAAAATCCAAATAGGGACCTATGTCTTCCCATTTTTTAAACCTAGATTGCCTTCTAGATAGACAAGTTGTAGTCATTCTTTTACAACAAATGAATCTGTATCCAGATAACCTACATCTGTCATTTTGATGTTTTTAAATACAAGGCACTTACACATCTTTACATGGAAATTTTGCTATGGAACTTGTCTAGCTGATGTTGATTTTACATTATAGATGTGGCTTTTACAGATAAGTATTTGATTGAAATGAACAAAGCTGCCTAGTGAATTCTGACATATATTGCTTAATTTAAAACATTTTTAATAGAAAATAACTACATGCCTTAGACATTTTTGAAAATATCAATGCACTGCCTGTAGATTTTTCATCAGAATTTTGAGGGATTAGGGTTGAAAATGGGCAGGAATCATGTATGTTTTTCATTACTATTGCATTTGGCACATCAAGATCCAGGATTTCTCCACTGAAGTGAGAGTAACTACACTTCAGTTTTATTTAGTGAATCCAGTTTGAAAGCTCTGGGCAAAAAAAAAAAGCTGCTCCAGGCTCATGGATTGCTCATGAACTTGGATTTTAAGAACAGAAGAGCCAGTTCTGAGGCTCTATCTACTCTGACCTCCTGCATAACACAGGCAACAGCTGCTGGGGGTCAGAGCAGGACAGGCTGTTTCACAGCTTCGCCACTGATAACTTTGCATACGGTGAATGAGGGCGAGAGTTGGAGCAATAGAAGCTGTCAGGGTTTATTACCAGGTGTGATGGGGACTAGCGCCCAGAAGGCAACAGGACCTATCTGTCCCCTTACCCCGTTAGGCGCACCAGACACTTGAGCATCCTGGTCCATTCTGGTCTTTATGGCATCTGCCCTGCCAAGCCCCTCAGGTGCCACGCGACCTCCCCACCACCCTTGGCCTCAGCCAGTTTAAGCCGGTTGCTTTTTCCGTTGGGACTGGCCCAGGAACGTTCGCTCCGTTCGTTGGGGACCCTTCCCCCTCCCCGCCACGGCCGGGCGGACAGCGCGCGCTCTTCTCTTCCCCTGCCCCGCCCAGCCGCGCGCCAGCTCCTCCCGTCAGTCGGCCCTGAAGCTTCGCAGCTGTCAGCCGAGGAGGAAGGCGGCGGGTGGTGTGTCCCGCACGTCATATCGGCCGCCTGGCTCTCATTGGCTGCCGAGCCTCACCAGACCGAATGTTGTGCCCGGCGCCGCGCGGAGGCTCCCTCCCTTCCCCCCACCGCTCCGAGGGGAGGGGTAGGGGCCGGCGCTCCCTCTGCCTCCAGGGTAGGTCGGGAGCGGGTAACGTGACATCGAGGCTCGCTGCTTATAAACCTTTCCCCAGACCACTACAGCGGCCGGACGGGACAGGACCGGGAGGAAGCCCGAGCAGCGCCCCTGCAGGTGGGTGCCCAGCCGGGGCAGGCAGGGGACACAGCAGTCGCTGCGCTGGTCCCTGGTGGGGGGAGGCTGGGAAATGGGGATCCCTTCCCCCCCAGCGTGGCGGGCGCTACCACATACCTCTTGCCCTTGGCGGGCGGGCGCTGCCAGCCGTGGGCTGAGGGAGCCCGGGCCCCTGCAGGGACTGCGCTGCATGCACGGAGGGGCTTGGGACAGCGGGCGCCCCTGCTCCTAGAATAGCGCCTGCAGGTGGGAGAGGGGCCTAGGTAGGTTGTCATCCTGGGCTGAGAGGGGGAGTCGGGTTGACCGATGGATTGAGACGCGCCGGACAGGCTGCACTGTTTGACCTGCTCTTGGCCCTTCCATAGCCTTGTCACGCTCTAGCTGTAAAATGAGCGGGTGAGTGGTGGGGATCTAAATTAATTTGGGCTCCTCCAATGGTCGGTGTTCTACAAATGCTAGGCATTTCTGCTTGGGAGTGTATGTACACATGCACACAAACACGCACACAAGTGCAGAGGATTTAGGCCTGAGTGACTGTCCCTGTTTTGGGGCCCTAAAAGCCACTCTTTTCTCTCCATGTGAATGGTAGGACCCAGATGGTGAAGCCAATGCCCAGATTGGAGAACTGCAGCTGGAGCTGTTCCTGCACTGCTAGAGGAAGGCATAAAAACCAACTGGGGAAAACTGCTGTGGGACTAGCTGCCAGGGTGGGTGAGATGCTGAGCTCTTCTGTCTCAAGCTCCCCACGGACTCTGGTGGGTCATGGAACACGGACCCCTAGCACTTCCATTCTCAGAAGCAATACTAGTAGCAGCAACAGCAGCCTGAACTTGAACCAACATCTGGTGCAACGGAGCCTGGTGCTCTTTGCTGTGGGTGCTTTCATGGCACTGGTGTTGAACTTACTGCAGATACAGAGGAACGTGACCCTGTTCCCCGAGGAAGTTATTGCCACTATCTTCTCCTCTGCCTGGTGGGTGCCCCCTTGCTGTGGGACAGCAGCAGGTGAGTCCTGTAGTTGACTGGGAGGTGGTTTAGTCAGCAGCAGTGTGAGAAGGAGGGAACAGGCCCTAAGGATCTGTGATCTGCATGTTTTGGGGCTAGCCACACGTCACATGAATGTAGCTGATGTGAGTTGTGGGGAGAAGGGAGGGGGGGTTGGACTTGGTGCAGCTTTCCCCACATCAGGAGAAAACTAATTTCATATGTGGCACAAAGTACTCAAAGGTGATGTACTGCTTTTTCAAACTGCATTGACATGTATATGAGGTATTAATACTCAGTTCAGCTGGTCAGTATTTCAGCAGCTATGTATTCTGAAGAAATAATTAGCCATTTCTCTACACACAGCTCTTCAGGGCTGATGCAATTTCTGCAGACTGTGGTGTTCAGAGTTTTTCTCCTGTGAGCCAAGAGATGCTCACACACCAGACAGCAAGTGGAGAATCAGGAGTATATCCTGAGTATCTTGTTTTCTGGCAGGCCTGTGAACAGTGCTAGGACCTAGTGCAGCAGCAGGCATGGCTCTCCTCACTGCTTGCTATATGATTGGTTCCCTCTGAAACTGGTGAGCCTGCAAGGTTCTGTTACTATTGGCTGCCTGAGTGAACAGGCCACAAACAGAATCAGAAACAAGGAAGTCACATGTCAGCGGGGGATGAGGAAAGCCTTTCTGGCTGCCTGCCCTGTTTTCTGCCTAGAGCTGTGCAACTGCCAACAGCCATAATCTCTGTTTATAATATTTGAGTACTTGCAAACAGCATAGTCTGTAACAAAACACACAATGAATATGAGGCCTTTGCTGTTCAATTGAAACAAATGGGCAGCTGACCTCGGTATTGTTACTAATAATCTTACATCTTGATACTGTACACTTGGTATATACAGGTGGCACTGGGGAAATGATTACAATGGAAATACCAGGTCAAATTTACAACAAATAAAATAAAGAAATGTTCCCATGGCCATTTTAAAACACAAATAGAAAAAAAATCTTAACTTAAACCTTCCCACATAGTATCTGCAATCCAAATGTTATAACGTTGTGTTAGTACATTAAAGTAAGAGTAAAATCTATAGTCTGGCTTGTGGAAACTGAGAATGCTATGGAAACCCCATAATCAGTGAAAAGGAATCCTGCCCTTCCGAGTTGTTTTGCTTGGCCTAGTAAAACGTGCAACATTAACAAAAAAAAATCCCTTTTCAGCTCTGGCTGGAGATAAAGTTCTCAATCTTATTCTTGTAAGAACCCTGGAAATGCTGGAATTTTTTTTTTAAACAGAGCATTTTTCTTTGTGAGTAAGTATACATAGAAAATTACATCATCACAGATAGACCTGAAGTCTTTTTCTTCAGGAGGACTAAATTGAAAACTTTCATTTGAGTTTTGTGTCCGCTGATCAGAGGATTATGGGAATCCATTTTTACCCCACACCGACTTTAGTTCCTCTACCACTGTACACTAACATCTACCCAAAGATGTTAGAAAATACTGAATAGCTTGTATTGTTCTTTTAAACAAAAGCAAAGTTTAAAAGCAAAGTTTAATAAGCTATCTAGTTTTAGCTGATCCTTAGTTGCTGCTGAGTAATTTTTAAGCAAAGACATTTGTTTGAAGCTGTAGCTCAGAGGACACCAACCAGTAGATTGGGATCTCCTGGTAGATCTTGGAACCTTTGACAGGTGATCCTGACAGGTTTGGCTGGGAGGCTATCAAGTGCTGGCATTTCATCTGCCCCTTTAGCACTGCTGTGCTGCTCCTGCTCTCTGCCTTGGAGTTGCCCTCCCCCCCCCCCCCCCCACCCCCCCTCTTTCTCTCCAGAGGAGGAGGAGGGGTGCCCCTCCCACCTTCTTGTACCCATCTCCACAGAGTGGGGTGGGGGCAGAGATGGAGAGAGTTTGCTGGCTGCTTTTGGAAGTGATGCAGGGCCAGGGCAGAGGTGATCCTGCCTTAGCCCTCAGAAGCCACCAGTGGTAAGCAGTGCCCAGCTGGAGCCTGCATTCTGAGCTCTGGCCCCAATCCTTAACCCCTCCTGCACCCCAAAATCCTGCCCTAGCCCTGAATCCCCCTGTACCCAACTCACTCCCAGAGCCTACACCCTAAACCCCCTCCTGCACTTCAACTCTCTGCCCCAGGTTCAGCTCTGAACCCCTCCCACACTCCAAATCCTTTAGCCCAAGATCAGCATCTGCACCCACTGCACCCCAACCCTTTGCCCCCAGCCTGATAAGTGAGTGAGGTTGCGAGAAGGAGCATAGTGAGCAGGGGTGGGGCCTCAGAGGTGGGAAGGAGGCAGGGCAAGGGTGTTTAGGTTTGAGAGAGATCCTAGAATTCACTTAAATTAATTTATCTCATGCCTCCTCTCCTAAAGTTGGAGACCACTGCTGTAGCCATTAATACTGTTTCCAAAGCAAAGTACTCTGCCTAAGAGTGAATATCACAATAGACACCAAAGAGAAGACATCTTTTATCAGGCAATCTGATTCTCAATGTCAAAACTAGTTGCTGCCCTAATGGCATAGCTCATATAACATTCTAGAATAGTCTGAAATTCCAAGCTTGTATGTATCTCTTCTAGCTAGCTACAACTTTGAAGCTTAAGCGCATGGCCAAGAACATGTGTGAAATGAGATCTAACAGTCCTTTCATAGTCAGAATAAATTCTGGAAATAAGAGGTGACTTCTACCTCTTCTAACATGTGGCCATGAAAAACAAGATGCCACCTAGAGTGAAATTGTCTGTAACTACAGACGAATATAACTTTAATTGGTACAACTGTCAGCAGAATTTGACTCATTTAAGGCTTTATTCTGTTCCTGTTGAAGTTTGTAACAAAACTCTACCTAGAGTCAGTGTAAGGCCAAAAGGGACCACTGGATCATCTAGTTTGACCTCCTGTATATCACAGGGCAGCAGTACCTCCCACACACCAAGTCCAGTAACTGAAAAAGACCAAAGTCTTACAGCCTTCTGGAAATTATACTATTGTGTTCCTCAGACAGAGAATGAGGGCCCCGATTGCGTAAGTGCTCAAGGCTCCCATAATATCTGGCTC